AACTCAGGTTAATACAGCTACATATAGCCAAAAATGTAAATACACAAACGTACAAAAAAAAGCAAACAAAGCAATGTAAGATTGTAGGATTTCGTCATGTGAAAGTTGATGTGTGTGAAAGTCTTATCTGTAGTACATCAATTTCCAAACACTGTCCGTAGCTGAAGTTGGCTGATAGCAAATGAATAATCCAACCTCTTGTAATGAAAACACGCCACAGCTCACAAACACCAGACTCTTCCTAACCAGGAACAATCAAAAATAGTCCAGACTATGGTCTCACATCAAAAAGAACTTTAAATATATTCAAACTGGACCATGATGTGATGTCCTCACTAGGGGTTGCATCGACTATTCGACTTCAGTGCTCTGCCATGATGCTTTAAGCTTGACGTCGACTTCCACATTTACGCTCCGTTTCCAAACAGTTCAAATGACACATAAATGCATACTCTGAAAGCGCTCCACAAGACTTGTGTGATTATATTACTCGATGCTCGAAATTGAACGGGACAATGCACGTTTTAAACAGCTTATTGTACAGGTAAATTAATCGCCGTTCTAATCTAATGCGCTGCTGCACTGTAACGCACGCACATAGGCTACAGACAGTAGCGCGTACATCACGCGCACAGAATCATTCAGCGCGGAAATGTATTGTCGACACTGTTCTGTGATTTCTCAATAAAATAGCTTAGAAACTGAAAAGTTCAAGCATATATTTCTTAATAACTAAATTCCACAGCTTCACTACTAGTAGAGAGACGCTGCCAGGCAGAATTAATTCACACACGCAATCGCTCTCACTAATGCATTCATATTAATGTAATATTTACTGTGCTACTTTATCTGTATCTGATTTAGAATGAGCAGAAATCTGTGAGAAATATAACGACCCAAAGACAAAAGAACTGATAAAAAAGCTGTTATAGGAGCAACAGCCATGTGGGCAGCGCTGTGTCATATGCCATAGCTGTGCACAAGGTGTTTGTCACAGCTCCAGACTTATTTGTTCATTAATGACGTCATCAGCGACTAGTCGACTTCGACTCGACTTTCATCACATAAAAGTCGACTTCAAAAAATCTGAAGTTGTTTAACCCCTAGTCCTCACCAATAAAGAGTCCTTCTAAAATGCATACAAATACGCTGTCTTTAACTCTTAGCATCAATCCAAACATAGGCCATACATACATGTACCATCTCTGCAAAAAAACATCAGCAATGTACACTTTTAATGTACTCCTTTAGACTGGGCTTGAAATTACACATTTTCCAATCAGGACACAGCACAATGTGTTCAGCAGGTGAGCCATGCTGGCTACTGCTGCTGGCTATTGCTAACTCCCTCTACCACATGGCTTTACTTAAGGAATCCTAAAACACTCTAGCATCCCTAGTGGTAAGGAAGAAAACTGCCCACAAAATTCTTATTAACAGGCTCATGTCTGGCCCACACTGGGCCATCATAGGATTAATGTGGGCAGTCCCATAGTGTGGGCTGCTCACAGAGAGTCTGCGGTGAGCCCAAAGCTGTGGGCCTCGCCTGGGCAAGCCCGCACCGGGCCTGTTTAGGTTTGGTGTGGGCTGGCCCTAGCCCACTGTGCCCACAAAAAGCCAGCATGGGCCCCGCAATGACATGTTTGCAGGGATAGCAAGTTACAATAGTCAAGTCGCAAAGAAATTAAAGCATGAATTACAATCTCAAAACTCTTCCTGCTTAGGAAGGGTTTAGCTTTTGCTAGTCTTCGCAGATGGTAGAAGCTGGTACTCACAGTAGAATTAATTTGTTTATTCAGCTTTAGGTCACAGTCCAGTATAAAGCCCAGATACTTGATCTCTAAGATCTTAGACTGTACATAAATACTGTACATGTACTTTTGCTAATACAGTTCTAGATTCAGTTGTAATACTTTTTCACCTAATTTTATTGATATCAATAAATGTAATCACTGCACCTTCAACTCTCATTCGTTTTCAGTCAAAGAGAGAGTTTTGAGGCAAAAGTATAAATTCTGTGCATTCCAGTCAAGATACATACATACCTACTTTAAATCACTGGATACGGTCCTGTATGAGTGGCTGGTATCACACCCCTTGTGGTTTAATGTGGAGAGTGACATTAAGAAAGTAGTAAAATATCAAGGATGGATGGATGCCTCTAAAGGGGTGCTGGCATTGGCAGGAGTGACCCATGAGATAATTAGTCTGAAACCCATCATGGAGATAATTTTAAAGAGAGCAACAAATCAAATAGAGAGAGAAAATATATTTCTCCTGCCGTGTATTCTTTGCTTGAACAAGATGGCCTGAAAAATGTTTCAGCTGTTTCTCCACACCAGCACATTGACTACAAAAAAAATAAATCAAAATAACATACTAATTTGATCAGGTCTTCGTATAGAAACACTTGCCTTCAAAAATTGAGTCCTTGAGAAGCAAATAATTATGAAACAGATGCACTAACAGATTGACTGTTCAATTCTGGAGTTTCTGAGATCAGTGGATTGTGATGAAATGTCTCATGGAATAACTGCTGTCTACACAATTGAAAATGGAGATGATGTTCTGTCTTTAACTCTTAGCATCAATCCAAACATAGGCCATACATACATGTACCATCTCTGCAAAAAAACATCAGCAATGTACACTTTTAATGTACTCCTTTAGACTGGGCTTGAAATTACACATTTTCCAATCAGGACACAGCACAATGTGTTCAGCAGGTGAGCCATGCTGGCTACTGCTGCTGGCTATTGCTAACTCCCTCTACCACATGGCTTTACTTAAGGAATCCTAAAACACTCTAGCATCCCTAGTGGTAAGGAAGAAAACTGCCCACAAAATTCTTATTAACAGGCTCATGTCTGGCCCACACTGGGCCATCATAGGATTAATGTGGGCAGTCCCATAGTGTGGGCTGCTCACAGAGAGTCTGCGGTGAGCCCAAAGCTGTGGGCCTCGCCTGGGCAAGCCCGCACCGGGCCTGTTTAGGTTTGGTGTGGGCTGGCCCTAGCCCACTGTGCCCACAAAAAGCCAGCATGGGCCCCGCAATGACATGTTTGCAGGGATAGCAAGTTACAATAGTCAAGTCGCAAAGAAATTAAAGCATGAATTACAATCTCAAAACTCTTCCTGCTTAGGAAGGGTTTAGCTTTTGCTAGTCTTCGCAGATGGTAGAAGCTGGTACTCACAGTAGAATTAATTTGTTTATTCAGCTTTAGGTCACAGTCCAGTATAAAGCCCAGATACTTGATCTCTAAGATCTTAGACTGTACATAAATACTGTACATGTACTTTTGCTAATACAGTTCTAGATTCAGTTGTAATACTTTTTCACCTAATTTTATTGATATCAATAAATGTAATCACTGCACCTTCAACTCTCATTCGTTTTCAGTCAAAGAGAGAGTTTTGAGGCAAAAGTATAAATTCTGTGCATTCCAGTCAAGATACATACATACCTACTTTAAATCACTGGATACGGTCCTGTATGAGTGGCTGGTATCACACCCCTTGTGGTTTAATGTGGAGAGTGACATTAAGAAAGTAGTAAAATATCAAGGATGGATGGATGCCTCTAAAGGGGTGCTGGCATTGGCAGGAGTGACCCATGAGATAATTAGTCTGAAACCCATCATGGAGATAATTTTAAAGAGAGCAACAAATCAAATAGAGAGAGAAAATATATTTCTCCTGCCGTGTATTCTTTGCTTGAACAAGATGGCCTGAAAAATGTTTCAGCTGTTTCTCCACACCAGCACATTGACTACAAAAAAAATAAATCAAAATAACATACTAATTTGATCAGGTCTTCGTATAGAAACACTTGCCTTCAAAAATTGAGTCCTTGAGAAGCAAATAATTATGAAACAGATGCACTAACAGATTGACTGTTCAATTCTGGAGTTTCTGAGATCAGTGGATTGTGATGAAATGTCTCATGGAATAACTGCTGTCTACACAATTGAAAATGGAGATGATGTTGTGATTGGAAGCACAGAAAGAGCACTTGCTGAGGCAGAGAAGAGGGTGAATACAGTTCTCACAACCAAAAACCTCACTGTAAAAGTTCAGGGTGTCCTTCAAATGCCAGAGTGGCTGGATCTCAAAAACAACTGGAAAATTAATTCAGCTGCGGATGGGTGTATATTTTAGCAGCTGGAGCTTTTTGCTTTGCAAAAAAAGAAGCACTCAAAACACCGCACACTAGAGACACCTACTGGTCAAGATGGTGTAAATACAGCGAGAATACAGCCCATTGAGCCCAATAATGATATACATAATATGATGATCTTTCATACACCAAGTGTACATTGCTTTATGTAACACAACATTTTCGTTTTGATACCATGTATAACTGTGGGACGAGACTGGCCAGTAATGTGTGGGTAGCTTGTCTTATGAGAAAGCACAAATAGCTTAGTTATGGCGACACATAGAGAGTGTCTCTGAAGATGTGCTTGACGTGCAGCCTTTTTTACCTTTCTATTCAGAGTGATTTATTAACAGCGTTTCCACTCGCTGTGTGAGCAGAAGAATGTTTGTTGTGGTACTGATCTGGCGGCTGTGAGCTTTAACCGTATTCTCTCTGCATTCTGAGTTTGGGTTGGGGATTGAGCGCTGAGATGTTTTACTGCAGTGCACTTTCGCTAAAGGGCAGACTAGCCACTGTTTCTTGTGTATTTAAGTGTCTTTTTTATTTATTTATTTATTTATTTTCATTTCATTTTCTATTAGATATTAGGTTCATTTGAAGGCAGCTTGTTTATCAGAGTCAAACGTAAAATGTCAATAACTCTTCTCTCATAGGCTTGCTGCGTTTATTAGCTGTTTTGGTGTCAACGTTATACAATCGCAGCTTCTATTGTCCCTGTGCTGATCTGGCCACACTCACAGTTTTCGTGCTCTGACGAAGAAACGAAAGTGAAAAATAAGCAGGAGGGCGTGATCAACTTTATACACTGACTCAATTCATTTCCTAGTTGACCAGAAGGATCACGATGGACGAATATCCGTATCCCATCACTGTAGAGGGAAACTGGGAGTCTGAACAAGCTAAAAGTGTGAAAAATAAACTTCAGATTTACTTCCAGAGTAAGAAGAAATCTCAAGGAGGAGACTGCGCCGTGAAATATGATGACAAGAGCAACTCTGCTACGATTCTGTTCAAATCGTCTGACAGTAAGTGCTGAACACAAAGAGCATGTTAACAGAATAACACGCTTTTATTTAATTATTGATTAAAGTATATTTTATTTAGTAATGTAGGCTATAATCAAGCTGTCGATACACTTATTTCAGGTTCAAATACAAAGCGTTACTCTAGCCTCCTCTGTCATTTAAATAAAAGTAAAGAAGTGAATACTTATTAACATATCAGACTAAAAGATTGACACACACTGACTCGGCAAATTATTAATAAAGCAATACCTGTAGTATGGACAAACATGTCCGAATATAGCCTAGGACGTCCTACCGGAAGAGTTATGAGCTTCTGCGTCACATCATCATTAAGCGTTATAGTCACATTCGCTAATCACGTACAATTATATATAACTTACTGTGTTGTCTTGTGCTGTTCTTTGTTTTAAAGTATTGTGTTCTGACGAAGTCTGATTATTTGTGTTTAAGTCCGAGATGGCGTGCTCTCAAAGGCAGAACACATTATTACCATTGACAATCAGCAAATCAAGTTGAAAGTGTACAAACCCAGCGATGCAGAGGAACAGACAGACAGCGCTGGACAAAGAGTAAGTGTTTATTTTTTTTATTATTATTTTTAAAAATGTTTTAACGGTTTTATGGTTAAGACATCCAGGGCCGCATTAAGACCGCACTGGGCCCCGGGGCTATTACTTACTGCAGGGCCCCCATCACAATAATGATATTGATGATATATATATATATATATATATATATATATATATATATATATATATATATATGGTACAACGGAGCTAAAGACCCCCCTTAAGAAAAAATGTGCCATTCACTGCGCCTAAAATGTATAATTGCAGAAAAAAAATATATACGTTGTATTGAACATTAATGGAGCAACAGATTTTGTGTGAAATAAATCATTTAAGTTGTTTATTTTGTTTAAAATTTGTATAAATGTATGAGGTGGCAAGAGGGGCTTTTTACCCCACACACGGGGTAAAAGGCTCACCAGCATGGGGTAAAAGGCACATGGTATTGATACAAATACTTCAGCTAAAATAATGTTTTTTTTAAATAATGTCTAAATTAATACTTGTTCAAAACAATCACTTTAGCAAAGTTTGTACTATTTTCTGCTTATTTTGAAAAATAAAAGTATAAAGTTTTTTTCCAATAAATATGCTGTCATTAAAATGTGTTAATATTATATAGTTAGGGGGTAATTTTAAAATCACACAAGGTCCCCAGATAATACTAATCCCTTGCGAATAGGTCTTAAGAAGATGGTTGTCATTTCTCCAAATTGTTGAAAATGGCCGGAAAGACTGAATAACTAACCCTTCTTCATTAGTTCTCCATTTATGTAACTGTAAATACTTTATGCTTGTGTGGTTTCAGATGGACCAGGGGTGTGGATATCAGGAACCAAGTAAGTAAATCATCTGAACTTTGGTCTCTGGCTAATTACATACATGCAGCCTTTTATTGGTTAATGTTTTGTGGATGTACTTATTAACATTCATTTTAAACAGTAAAGATATCAGTTAGGTAGTTAATTGGTACATTTATTTTATTTATTTTTTTATGTTTGTTAGCTAGATGACACTGCTAGGTGACTTTGCAACAAATAATTTGCATTGGAATTTAATAAATAGGTGTCACTTTTATTATGTCTAAAGCTCAAAGTGCCTCTCAGACTGATGTGAATGTGAAGAAGCCTCAAGAGTCAAGTGCTGTGGTGCTGGAGAACCTTCCAGATGATATTAAACAAGATGTTTTAAGTCTTTTGGTGGAGAACATCAGCAGTCTTTCTGAAAATGACTTTAGCGTAGAATTAATACCAGAATTAAGAAAAGCAGTTGTGACTTTTAAAAATCCCAGTGGTAAGTTTTACTGTAAAATATAAATTCATTTGTATGTTTTATCATAATTTAAACATGTTTTACAAATTAAAAGTTAATTTAGCTTAATCTTGATTACATGACACTTTACATGGTGGTCTTTTTTTTGGACAGGGGTAAGAGTTTGTGTATCTGAAAATTATTTTTGATAATTTGACAACTTAATGTTTTTTATGTTTTATTAAATGTGTCTGGCACATTGGAAAAAAAATAATTTCTTACAGCTGCAGAAAAGTTCCTTGAGGACAGCAGGACACATGAAAAGTTCAAGAAGAATAATCTGAGGGCCCATGCACTGGAGAGAAGCACAAGTGTGCGAGTGGAGAATCTTTCAGCTGAGGCCAACAACAACAAGATGCTGCTGGAACTGTATTTTGAGAAATGGGGCGGTCCAGTAGAGGAAATTATCAAAATTCCATCAGAACAAGCAGCCATTATTATCTTTAAGGAGGAAGAAGGTAAATACATGTGCAATTGCTGGTAGTCCTTGATATTACAGTTCCAGATTTGCTAACACTTGCCTCATTTTGTCAACACCAATGTATTCATTCATTGCACCTCTAACTTTTATTGTTTTTCAGCCAAAGAGAGAGTTTTGAAGCAAGAAAATAACATCTGTGATGTTCCAGTCAAGATGTATCCCTACTTCAAATCACTTGATACGATCTTATATGGTGGCAAAAGACCCCATTTGAAGCTGCCTGAACACATTACAGTCAGTGTACATCCTGCCATCAGGGAGTTCATCCTCAAGAAAGGGCAGATTTCCTCTATAAAAGACCAGATGAGCTCACACTTCTGCCAAATAAACATGGACAAACCTGAAGCTTTGCTCAGTCCTGATCCAGCATTACTGAAACAGAAAGGAGGTACCAGACAACTTATTGATGGCTGGAGTAAGAATACCATTGATGCCTTCAAGAAAATCATCTCAAATTACACAACATCTGAGTGGCCGGTGTCATACTCCTTGTGGTTAAATGTGAAAAGTGATATTAGGAAAGTAGTGAAAGATCAGGTTTTTACAGATTTGGATGCCTCTAAAGGGGTGATGACATTGGCAGGAATGACCCATGAAGTAATTGGATTGAAACCCATCATGGAGAAAATTTTAGCGAGAGCAACAAATGAAATAGAGAGAGAAAAGAAGAGTGTGACTGAATATTTGGAGATTTCTCCTGCCGTGTACTCTCTACTTGAACGAGATGGCCTGAAAAGTGCTACAGCTGTTTCCCCACATCTGCTGGTTGACTACAACAAAAAAAATAAAAGATTAGTTTTATCAGGTCTTCATACAGAAATTCTTGCCATCAAAAATTGGGTCCTTGAGAAGAAAGTAAGTATGAAACAGAAGCCCTTACAAATTGACCGTTCAGTCCTGGAGTTTCTGAGATCAGTGGATTGTGATGAAATGTGCACAGATCTCTTCATATCTCATGGAATAACTGCTGTCTACACAATCGAAAATGGAGATGTTGTTGTGATTGGAAGCACAGAAAGAGCACTTGCTGAGGCAGAGAAGAGGGTGAATACAGTTCTCACAACCAAAGACCTCATTATAGGAGATCTGGGTGTCCTTCAAATGCCAGAGTGGCATGATCTCAAAAGACAACTGGAAAATTCATTCAGTATTTTCAAAAAGAGATCTGTGTTTATAAACCTCTCTAAAAAGAGAGACAAAGTTATAGTGACTGGATTCAGAGAACCAGTGATGGAAGTCAGTCAGGACTTAGGACGATTCATTGAGAAACACACAAGCATTGAAGAAACTGTTTGTGTCAAATCACATGCCGTGGTTGAATTCATAAAAGACAGAAAATCACAAGACTGGCAGCATTTTATCAAGTCTGAGGAGGTGAAAGTGAGTTTTGATCCAAAGAGACCCTGGATTAAACTGTCTGGAAAGCATACATTTGTCCAGCCAGCTTTGACTCTATTTGAAAGTTTGGCAGAAGGCCTCTACACAGACACACTAATCATTAAAAAGGCAGGAGTAAAGAAGTACTTCATGGAACAGGGTAAAATGATGTTCTCAGTGCTGTTAAAGGAAAAAAGATTTGTTGTGGTTCTTCAGGAAGATGACATGCTGGATGAAGAAGAAGATGAATTTCCTGTAGGTAGTTTTGAAGATATTGGCCAAGTCTCTTGTGAGGTTCGAATGCCAGGTGGAGTAACAGTTACTGTCAGGAAGGCAGACATTTGCAAGCTCCATGTTGATGCTGTGGTCAATGCTGCTAATGAAGATCTGAAGCACATCGGTGGTTTAGCTTTAGCACTTCTCCAAGCTGCTGGACCAAGTCTGCAGCAAAACTGTGACTTACACACAAAAGCAAATGGACCTCTGAAGCCTGGAGATGCCATCATCACTGCTGCTGGTCGTCTTCCCTGTAAATATGTAGTGCACGCTGTTGGACCTCGTTTCAGTGATTCAGACAGACATACCGCTGTTCAACGCCTGAGACGTGCTGTGAGGGAAAGTCTGAATCAGGCGTCAAGCAGAACCTGTTCCTCCATTGCAATCCCAGTTATTAGCTCAGGGATATTTGGTTGTCCTCTCGACCTTTGCACTGAATCAATCGCCAAGGAGGTGCATGAGTACATTGAAGATCGTAACCACAGAGCCTCTAATAGCACCTTAACTGAAATTCACTTGGTTGACAATAATGGCAGCACTGTGAATGCCATGACTCAAGCTGTCAGAAAGGAGTTTGCTGCTTATAACCCTAAAATGACTTTCCCTCATAAAGCCAAACCCCATGGGTATAGTAACTATGGACAAGGGTATCGTGGCCGTTGTCGTGGTCGTGGTCGTGGCCGTGGCCGTGGTCGTGGAAACTATAGCCAAAAAAACCAACAGTTTGAAGGCTCCAAAAGCCGTGGAGACTTTGAAGGACAACCATACTCAAAATCAAGATCAGATAAATCTGAAGGGTTAAGTGTTCTTGAGACCAAAACTACACAAGAGGGACTAAAAATCATTCTGATCAAAGGGAACATCCAGGATGCATATGTAAGTGAATAATAGTAATGGCACAAAAATACAGTAAAATAAAATGAAGAGTTCAGATGCAAAATCCTCTAAGTGCCATCTGAAATTTTCATCTAAAATGAGCATTTTTATCAGACTCCTATATTTATGTTGATGTATTTCACTTTAATGGCATAGAAAAGGACCTATACATTGCCGTTAAAGTAAAATTACTGAACCTAAACATAGGAGCCTGATACAAATGCTAATTTTAGAAGAAAATTTCAGATGGCACTTAGAGGCTTTTGCATCTGAACTCTTCAAATATACTTAAAGGGATAGTTTATCCAAAAATCAAAAGTCTGTCTATTACTCACCCTCAAGTCATTCCATAACAGAATTTAAATTTTTCATTAAACTGTCCCTTTAAAGATACAGTCTCTGAAAAAAGGCTTATATGCCATTATAAGTCAGAGTGAAATATGATAATCAAAGGATGACCAATTCCTATAAAAGAAGTGTCTGATTTTATTCTTCTGCAGGCTAATATCATTGTAAACACTATATCGGAGGACTTGGACCTCAGAAAAGGTGCCGTTTCCAAAGCACTCCTTCAGACTGCTGGTTATCAGCTCCAATCAGAAATCAACACAGCTGCTCGCTCAAACGGTGTGAATTATGGTGGAATGCTCATCACAGATGGTTATGAATTGAAATGTCAAAACGTCTTCCATGTAGTTTGCCCATTTTGGAGACAGGGCTCAGAAGATAAGGTGAGAAAAACAATTTTGTAATTGAATTATAACAAAATCATCATTAACTGTGTTACAGCTGGCTGTTTTTAGGACTAAATGTTATCGCATATGTGAGCTTAATTTATTTATTTAAATGGTACTTTCTTTAAAGATTAAAATAGATATATTTATTTACATTTTAAAAGGTACTCATTCAGATCATTAGAGATTGCCTGAATAAAGCAGAAAGCTGGAGAAAGGCTTCAGTCGTCTTCCCAGCTATCGGGACTGGGAATCTTGGCTTTCCTAAAGATCTGGTGGCCAGAATCATGCTGACAGAAGTCCAGAAATTTAAGCCGACAAACCTTCGAAAGGTAACTGTGATTGTGCACCCTTCTGACAAGGAGAGTGTAGAGGTGAGTGTGAAAACTTGATTCAAGAACCATACAAACTCAAACAGCATGACTAATATACAGTATGTATGTTTATTGTTTAAACTATAAACTTTTGTTCATGTTAGGTTGTATATTTCTGTGCTTTACCTATTAGTGCTTTACCAGCGTCTTTAGACATGGGATTCAGGGTCCCGTTACAAAAGAAGCTCATCAATATGCCCTGCCGAATATTTCTAGCAAATCAGCTCAGAAATCTGGTAACTCTTTCTTATCTGATGTCCATCACATTTATTTTTTAAGTACATTTTGTTAGAATATTTATTCTATTAACAAAGACAAGATTGAGATTTTCCATGCATCTTTATGTTTTTCTTTAGAGCTTGTTGGCAAAGTCTCCTCTCCCTCTCTCGGGGTGCACACTATGCAGCTGGGTCAAGTGACTCTGGAGGTTTCATCAGGAGACATAACTAAAGAAAAAACTGATGCCATTGTGAATTCCTCAAATCATACATTTTCTCGGAAAACAGGTTAATCCAACTTCACACCCACTGTTTTACCTGTTTCAGTGAATCATTTATAATTTATGTCGCATTCGAAGAGAATTATACAATTTCTCTTTGTAATCTAGGAGTATCCAAGGCCATTTTAGATGCTGCTGGAGTACAAGTGGAACGAGAATGTTCACAGATTGGTTTGTATACTTTTTAAATTATTCTTTCTTCTTGTTGATGAACTTTACTTTTTTGAATACATTCATTTTTGCCATATACTTAAAGAGAGATCTAATGGCTTTTAGATGCTTTGGTAAACGTAGTGTACATGTTTCAATAGTGGGATCATCAAGCATGCAACAAGCAGAGATTGTTACTTCAGCCGGGCGGCTTCCATGTGGAAACATCATCCATATTATTGGACACAATAGTCCATCTGGCATTAAGGATGTTGTTTTGTCTGTTCTGAAGTTATGTGAGTCACACCAGATGACTTCTGTTGCTTTCCCAGCTCTTGGCACTGGTAAGACACTTTAGTTGTGAGAGTCTTGTAGCCTCTGGTTTTTATTCACTTTGTGTGATTCTATTTTTTACATAATTGTTTAGTAGAGTTTTGTTTAGTTACTTATTGTATAATTAATTAAAAGTAGGACTGTCAAAATTAATGCATTATTCATTTTTTTATTTCAGTTTAATGCATTAAAACCATTTAACACAATTAACACTGCATGCTTTTTTTTCCTGGCATTCTTTGGCTAGTATTACAGTAAACTATATGATCATGCTATCAAGCACGATAAGATGCAAAAGAGAGCTTAAAGGGGTCATGAACTGCCTTTTTTTATTATCTTGTACTGTTCTCTGAGGTCCACTTATAATGTTATCAAGATTTTTACATCAAAACACATAATATATTAGCAGTAATAGGCTATTTTCTGTCCTGTTTGACCTCCCTCATCAGAACGCTCTGTTTGAATAGGCGCGGTGGACTGTAGACACAGAAGCACTGTAAACGCCCACTGCTATGATTGGCTAACAGTTGTTTATGTTTGACAGCTACATCCTTCACAGATGGACACTGCTGTGATTTAGGTTAAAAACGCATAAATACTCAGTTCATATCAAACGATCTGTAATAACAGACAAAGCAATAGTGATCACGTAATAAAAACAGTTACTCACACTCGTGTGGTGCGACATTACGTTAGATCCAATATAGTCGGCACAGAATCGTCTTTTAATTTCAGTCTTTCAGAAAATCCGGTGTCGAATTGTACCTTGTTTGTAAACTAATCTGTGGTGAAATGAAGTGAGCAAACGACCAACCTTTTACTGACGTGGTCTAGAACTTCATTAAAAATAAAGCTAATCCACTCTTACCTAATATTGGGATCCGATGGAAGGTTATGCATAGACTGTGTTTGTCCACAATTTGGCACTGCACAGCGTCTTGTTATCTTCGGAGCCATCTTTATCGTTTGGTTTCTGTGTAGACCTGCGTTTGTCTCTCTCGTTATTTACACTACGTGTGTGAATCAGTGGGCGGAGCTAAACAGGCAGTGATGTAGAAGCAGGTGCTGATCTTCTTCTGCGGAGGTGGGGTTTACCCACTCTTACGTCATAGAGTGGCACATTCCACAAGCTGTCGTTTTGGCAGATTGGCTTCAATATAAACTGTTTTTAGACTAAAGAGAAAGTTTTGAGTTCTGAAACTTACACAATGTTTTTATAGTACAATGACCTCTTATATGTCAAAAGATCAAGGGAATTTTGATTTCTCAGTTCATTACCCCTTTAATTCGGTACTGGCGCGCTGTTTCTGTGCTGCTCTTTGTGAGCACAGGAATCAGGCGCACAGAAAGCTGCTTCAGACAGCGTGCTAATAGTGCAGTGAGTTATTTTTCGCATTGCAACTAACAAAAAAACACAAAATTATATAAAAATGCCTGGTTTTGGCGAGTGACCTCGTAAACACAGTCTTAAATTAGTTAAAAAGTCCTAAATGACCGTAAAGGACTGGGAGAAAATCGGATGTGTCAGTCATGTGCATCAGGATTTAAAGAGACAACACTGCTTTTAAAGTGAAACCTGCTGCAGTCTGACATTGATGTAAATCAAAGAACAAAAAAAAAAAGATAAATTACTCAGTGCTTGCTGATTAACTTTTGTAGCTTGAATGAAGATTAATCTACATTCAATTTATAATTTAAGCATAGACCTATAGAATTTATGTGAAGATTGTTTTAAGTTCACTTAAATTAAAATCTTTATTGTTTTTACATTAATTTGGAGATTCAATGTGATTATATATGAATATATAAATTTGCGATTAATAGTGAATAATTCAGAAAATGTGCGATTAATTATTATTATTTTTTTTTATTGATTGTCAGCACAGCAAACATTTTTACTGACATACTGTGTGAATTGTTCACTATTCTTTTCCTTTGTCTCTAACCCTTTAGGTCAGGGAGGTGCAAATCCAGCTGATGTTGCAGATGCAATGGTTGATGCACTTGTTGACTTTGCAAAGAAAAAGAAACCAGTGCATGTCAAATGTGTGAAGTTTCTTATGTTCCAGTTGAACTTGGTGGCAGACTTTCACCAAAGCATGGTCAGAAGATCTGGTGAGAAAGTAGAAGAGGATCAAAGTGTGCTTACCAAAATTAAAGGTCAGTAAAGAAATATAAATGCTCTTTTCATCTATTTATCTGAATAAGTTTAATAAACAATAATTGATCCCTCTTTTCTTTCTAAAGATCAGTAAAGAATAAAAAAAAGTATGATAATCCCATCCATTTTTTTTTCAAATACCACAATTGATCCCTCTGTTTCTTCCCATCAAACATGTTCCTGTAAAAAAGAAGAAAGTTCAGAATCTCCTACAAATGAAGAGTTTGTAATGGTAGGTGAGGAAATTGAGCCAGTTGTGTTTCAACTGTGTGGAGAGACACCAAAAGACCTGAGTGAAGCCAAGGACATGATCAACAGTTTGATATTACAGGAGCATGTGATCATCCCAATCCATGATCCAGTCATTGCTCATTTCACCAGGGAGGATGTAGAAACGCTGAATGCCATGCAGAGAGAGCTCACAGTCAGTGTCCGGCTTGAGAAGAAAGGCCAAGACTCTGTCATCACACTGGAGGGCCTGACAAGAGACGTTCATACTGCAGACATTCGTATCCGAGACATGATCCGCAAGGTAGAAAAGAACCAAATCCGAAGAAGTGAGGCATTTATAATTAGCAGTGTGATTAAGTGGCAATATCAGGAGAATGGACACAGCGTCATAAACTTTGATATGTTGACCAATTATCACTTGGAACAGGCGTATCAGAACAAACAGCCTTTAGTAAGAATCAAGATTAATAATGATGAATATGAGGCTCATTTAGTTCTCAAAGTGGCCATAAGAGGGAACCTGAGGATTGCACTGAACAGAGTAGAATTGTAAAGTGAGATTATTTTATAATTAAGACATCGATTAGAATGGCATCATGTACAGATATTACTTACTCAAGTAAGTTTTTCATCTTGTTGTCTGCAGTAGCTCAAATCTATTTTCCGTTATACTGGATATAAACTAAAATTTATTCTTGCCTTTTTGTTGAAAGAGAACAGAACAGCACGCTTTGGAAAAACTATATGATCAAAACACTCACAAAAACAATGGAAAGCATCTCTTCCACGGCACCAGCCAAATCAACAGTCATGACTTCAATCACAGCTTTGCTGGCATGTATCAGTCAAATTCAGTATAAACTGTTTTTAGGAGCCTTGTATGGGAATAGTACATATTTTGCTGTGGACCCAAGTTACTCAGCCCAAAGCCACTTAAAACCTGATGTCAATGGACATAAATGCATGTACCTTGCCAGTGTGGTTGTCATGATTTAAATCAAGGAGTGAAATCTTGTTCCGCCTACGAAAAGCTCCAATAGTGCTGATCGATACAACAGTGTGACTAACAACATGACCAAGTCAACCAATACCTAATCACCTAATCAGTTTCCATTAATGATTATGAGATCAGTTTTTGTTGCTATTTTTGTTGTTTCTGTGATGATGAACACATAATGTTTAAGTATATAATGTATATGTGATAATTACTGCCAGAAATTACAGTAACTATTACAGTGTAAAGAAAAAGAGTTTGTGCTGAGCATTTGGGGATTATGTTTATGGGGCTTAAATGAGCACATTGATTGAAATTATACATACAATTATGTAACCATAAAAATAACAAAGGACTTCAGTAAATTATGATTGGTGAATAAAAAAATGTGAATTATTTACTACGTCCTTTAAACCAGAGATGCCCAAACCAGGGCCTTTAGGCCAGAGTTGGCCCACTTAGACCTTGAATTTTTCCTATATATCCTCTTGTATTAACATTTTTATTTATTTATTTATTTATTTTTATTCTTGCATTACAATTTAGAAAATATAAATACAATTTGATTTGAAAAAAAAAAGCTAGGCTTTAATATAAATATTTCATATAGTGCAGTGCTGGATATAATGCCACATTTATGTTTGGCCCATGGTCCTCAAATAAGTTTTATTTGTGGCCCTTCATAGTAAAAAGTTTGAGTAACATGAGTAACATTCCATATGACTTAAAGGGATAGTTCACCCAAAAAATAAAATTATGTCAATAATTACTCACCCTTATGTCGTTCCAAACCCATAAGACCTTTGTTCATCTTCGGAACATAAATTAAGATATTTTGATGATATCCAAGAGCTTTCTGACCCTGCATAATTGAACAAATTAATGAAGACAATCCAAAAAAACCTACAGGTCAAGACATTGTAAATGCAACGATAATACAGCCCAATACATGATGAAACAACAACATGATTTTCCTTTGCTTTATGTAACACAAATATTTAGTTGTGATACCATGTATAAATAATAGAAAGGAATAATTTTCATTTTTAATACAGAAGTAATTATTTGGATTTGTTGTTTATAATTAGTTTTCTTCGTTTAAGCACTTTTCTCGTTATGTATCCAACTTGAATAAGTGAATCAGAATCAGAATCAGAATCAGAATGAGTTTTTATTGCCAGGTATGTTTACACATACGAGGAATTTGTTTTCATGACAGAAGCTCCACAGTGTAACAGAATGTCAGTGACAGAACAAAAACACAGATAATAAAAAATAGAAAAATAGAATAAGTAACTAAGGAATAAAAATATACAAATCGACAATTGTATGTACAGGTATATAACAATAGACATTTGTATGTACAGGTATATTATGTGCAAATTGAAATGTAGACTGAGTGTGTGTATTAGATAAATAAGTGTATGAGTGAATAAATAGTGTGTGTTCCACAGTTATTGTCAAGTGTTCATGAGATGGATGGCCTGAGGGAAGAAACTGTTCCTGTGTCTGGTCGTTCTGGTGCTCAGTGCTCTGTAGCGTCGACCAGATGGCAACAGTTCAAAGAGGGAGTGTGCTGGATGTGAGGGGTCCAGAGTGATTCTGCCAGCCCTTTTGCTCACTCTGGACGAGTACAGTTCTTGGAGAGAAGGGAGGGTTGTACCAATGATTCGCTCAGCAGTCCGGACTACCCTCTGAAGTCTTCTGAGGTCAGATTTGGTAGCTGAGCTGAACCAGACAGTTATTGAAGTGCAGAGGACAGATTCAATAATGGCGGAGTAGAACTGTTTCAGAAGGATGGGCGATACCAGTTATTCTGTTTTCGATACGATACCGATACTTTTAAATGGCAGTATCGTTGATATTGATACCGATACGATACTTCTAAACTGAACTTTTAAATTATCACATTTATTAAATTATTAAATTACTAAGAGTCAAATGGGCAATGACATCCACTTAACTTTATATTTGAAACACATTTTAACATTCAATACACCTTAATTGCAACTTAGGTTATATTTTTGCTTACACGTGGTTAAAATATGTTTACTGTAGTGGAAACCAATTCTACAAACATATAGTTGAAGTATAGTTCAACTATATATAGTTGACTATATATAGTTGAACTATGGTCACTTTAGTAAATCGTGGTTCATTTTCATAAGGGACTGCCAGTGAAAGGCTGTTGCACGCATAAAATGCAACCTTTTTATTCTGACAGTGTATGATTTATATTAACATCACAGAATAGAACATGGACCTTTAACGTTCAATTTAAATAAATGTAATTGCACGAACTAGGCTACAAATTCAATTTGTTTATTGTGAAATAACTGTAACATGTATTTTTTTTTCTGTCCTCTGATAAGCATTGTTCTGGGCTGCTGTTCCCAAAAGCATCAATGGTTTCTTGTGATACTTTTGGGAAACGCAGCCCTGTGTGAATGCACTGTCAGAAGTGAGTGAACGCTCTCTGTGATTGATTGGTTCTGTCTTGCAGCATTTGCGTGTGTTCAGATGAGCAGGAAAATAGTTCAATCCTACACAATTATTCGCTAACATTATTATTATTATTATTGTTGTTGTTAAATAAACTAAATCACTGGTAAAAAGAAAAAAAAACCTTAATAACCTTAGTATCGATATTTTTATTTCAGTATCGATATTTTCGATACTCGCGTCAGTATCGATACGCCCAACCTCAGTGACGTTACATAACAAATGCCCGACTTGGAGGTACGAGTTTCCAGGTGAACTAGTGTGGTTCATTTAACTCTTTTGTCTTAAGACCTACACTGCTGTGTTTATCAGTTTTTTTCAGGCCATTCGTTTATATAAATAATCGCACTGCTATCGTCCCCATGTTAAAAACAGACCACACTCTCAGTTTCATGGTAACTGACGCAGAAACGAAAGTGAAAGTGAGGGCGTGATCAACTTTATAAACCCTCACCCGCAAGTCACTTCCTAGTTGACTAGAAGGATCACGATGGACGAATATCCCATCACTGTAGAGGGAGACTGGGGGCCCGAACAAGCTAAAAGTGTGAAAAATAAACTTCAGATTTACTTCCAGAGTAAGAAGAAATCTCAAGGAGGAGACTGCGTCGTGCAATATGATGACAAGGGCAACTCTGCTACGATTCTGTTCAAATCGTCTGACAGTAAGTGCTGAACACAAAGAGCATGTTGACAAATAAACAGGGTTTTAGCTTTCCAGACACTTAAGGTAATTTCGGGTCAAATACAAACTCTCACGGAATTAGTACTTATATAATCTGTGGATGTTAACGTTCAAATCGGCGTATTATAATTTACAGTATAACTAGGCCAGCGGGCCAGTGGGAAAGTTGGACAAAGCATTAAATATACCCAAGGGTGTAACTTTGGTTTGAGAAGTGGGGGGTGGGACACAAAATGGGGGGAAATGTTTTCGATTTGAATCCCATTTCTTGCATGTACATACATTTATGGACTATGGTGATACACAATCCAGGAAATAAGTTGATTAATGATCAATTCTGGCAAAAAGAATAGTAGGCTACTAAACTATGAATAAGAAAAAGATGTCTTACTTTCTTTATTGTTTAACAGGGGCTGATCGCCAAGACTTGAGAGAATCATTTTATAAAGTCGAAAATGTTCACCAATAATGTTTAAATAATGTGAGACTCAATTTCCACTGTTAAACAAACCTTTATTTCAAACTAACCGCTGTACCTGAAAATATAAAATAAATCTGCACAGGACAGAATGTTCTACATCAGTGGTTCCCAGACTGTTTAGAGTGGAGTACCCCCTGAGGCCTACCCCCTCTCTTCCACTTAGACTGCACCTTTTCCATTAAAGGACAATATTTGCACCCTAAATTGACTTTCCAATGGATTTTTAATCTTTATAAATAGAATGTTAATGTTTAAAATATATATATTTTTTTAATATGTAATGATTAAAAAAAAGTGAAAAGTGATTTTTAAATACTAAAAGCGCCAGTAGGTGGCGGTAAGTCACTGTCTTAAAGTGTGAGTCATCGAGTCATTTGTTCATTCAGTAACTAAGCAAGTGGGTGTATTTATAAATTAACAATTGAATCAATGACTTTCGCGAACGATTCGAACTAATTATGTAGAAGCCACACTTTTATGGTAGGCAGATGGAGCCAAAAGTCTTTAAATGGAACATGTAAAATTGGACTGGGTCAACACGCACTGTTCATCCATGTTAATGCAGCAAATTTGAGTGTTTCTTTTGTATGTGTAGACAAGCACATTCTGGCCATTTGAACGCATCAGCTATCGCTGTGTTTCTTTGGTACGTGTAAAGATGCATAATTTTGCCTCATTAAGACAACAAATTTGAACATGTCTATCAACGCACACATTCTAGCCATGTTCGAACATGTAATACTTTTTAAAGCACATATACCTCTAGATTTACCCACATAATAATCCTTTCTTTAGTTCACTGCAGGATTGCTTTACTGATATACATGGGCCTTGCTAGGCCAGTTTTAGGGGCAGTTTTTAATATGGACAAATAGTGTGTGTTGACACCAAATTTCACGTGTTCCGTTGAAAGACTTTTGGCCCCGTCCACCATCCATATACTTTTAGGATAAATAAATAGTATTTCAGACAAATTACAAGGAAAACCTTTACAAAACTATAATACAAACCCTCTTCTGTACATAAAGTTGTTTAAAAGCTCAAACATAAACAAGATGCTAACATAATTTTTACAAAGACAATAGTGTTTCTATAAAGTAACTATTCGAAAGAAACACATTAAGAAGCCAGGGAATGTGATGAGACAAATTTGGTGAATTATTTGTGTAATTTTGAAGAATACATTTACCTGTAAGTAGCACAAACAACCATGAGAGACATGTTTTGCTGCTTCTCCCTTGTGTTATTGACATGTTTCTTTGGCAACTCTGGTCTCTCTGCACATGACTTGAATGTTCAAAGTCCACTCTTTAAAACACTTCAAAGTCATGCAGCATTAACATAAATAAACATCAAGCATTATAATAAACATTGCAGAAATAATTTAAAATCGCTTCAGTTATGACTTGTGCAGACTTGTGCAAGTAATTAATAAAACAATATCTATCATTTATGACCAAGCATTTCCTAACATGTTTTTGGGACCTACTAGAAGACTTTTGATCTTATAGGCCAATGTCACATCATTGTTAATCATCACATTATAATTACATTCGCTAATATCATGTAACATGATATATAACTGTGTTGTTTTATGTTAATGTTTATGTAAGTATTGTGATGTATCTCGCTAAGTCCAATTGTTTGTGTTTAAGTCCGAGATGGCGTGCTCTCAAAGGCAGAACACATTATTACCATTGACAATCAGCAAACCAAGTTGAAAGTGTACAAACCCAGCGATATAGAGGAACAGGCAGACAGCACTGGACAACAAGTGAGTAGACTTATTACAAAATGCAGAATTAGGACCAC